GGGGTAGGGTAGGTAGGGTAGGTAGGGTAGGTAGGGTAGGGTGGGGGTGGGGGGGGGTCGGGCAGAAAGGGGGTGGTGGGGGGGGAACCGCTTGCGGACCCCGGTTTCCTAGGGGGCCTCCGGCCCGAGGCCTCGGCGGATTTCCTTCCGGTTTACAGGGTATAGGATGTAGAGTTCTGGACTTGTAGCTTAGCTTACTTCTGCTCATCCAAATTTCACCTCAAGTGCTGGCAAAATCTTCACATGGATTTCTTCTGTGTGGCACGAGGGGTGGGTCCTGGTCCAGATCCCAAACCCTAAGCCCTAAACCCTAAGTAAGCCCTAAACCCTAAACCCAAAACCAAGCAAGCCCTGGAAACCCAAGACGAACAGCTTGTCATGTGAAGGTTTTGCTTAAGGATTTGCGCTGGTTCCCTTGAACCCTGAACCCAAACCCCTTGCGCCGATTTAGCAGCTTTTCCGTGAAGCTGTGAAGTGTCAAGCAGTCAATGCGTTTGGGAGACAAAGTCCTAAATCCTGAGCACCCTACACCGGAAACTGCACCCCCTAAGGATACCTTATCCAAGGAGGTCTTCACCCTAACCCCTAAATCCTAAAGCCCTTATAAACTCCTAAATCCTAAACCCTAAACCCTAAGCCCTAAGCCCTAAACCCTTAAATCCCTAAACCCTAAACCGAATAGGATGTCAGATTCTGTTCCTGGAGGCCGTACAGCAGGAGCTGGCCAGCCGAAGTCGGGCTGCTGGGCTCGGCATTTGTGGGTTTTGGAAGGGAGGTTAGGGATGTCGGGTTCAGGGATGTCGGGTTCAGGGTTTAGGGGTTAAGGTTTAGGGGGTATGGTCTAGAATAAAGGGATTCAAGTCAGGATTTCGGGGATTTCGGGGGTCACAGGAAGTTTGGGGCTTTCGGGAAACCATAGCTTGAGGATGAGAAGTGCGCCCCCACCCTCCTTTCATGCGGAGTTCACCTGGCTGGTCCAGGCCCCTACCACGCGCGAGGTAGCAGTCATGTGCTCAGACAAGCGTTTAGGGTTCAGGGCTTAGGGTTTAGGATTTAGGGTTTCGGGTTTAGGGCTTGGGGTTTAGGGTTCAGGGTTTAGGGGTGCCTGTCTCTACCGGCACACAGATGTGGACCGCAAGATTCGGCAACATCTCGGCTCCCTGCAGCTCTCCTCATGCTGCAGCAGATAGATGCCACCTCCAGGACGGCAACGTGTCTACGACTCGGAAAGCTTTGTTGCCAAGAGCCTCAGTTCAACTTCAGCTCCGGAGAAGAGTGTCGCTGCATGACTTTCGGGCAGCCCGGCATCAAGGCCCAGGTGTCCTGAGAAGGAAGGCAGCCCTTGGTGCCCTGTGAAAAGCATTGCAAAGGGACCGGAGACCGCAAGACCCGGTCCAACAACTGGAAAAAGGGTTCAGGGTCTAGGCTTTAGGCTTTAGGCTTTAGGCTTGAGGCTTTAGGCTTTAGGCTTTAGGCTTTAAGCTATTAAGCTTTAGGGTCTACAATAGCGTTTCGGGCTGAGCTTAAACTCAACCATCACCCGTCATCAAAATCATTGGACTCCCAAGTGGAAGAGGAGCCTGGAGCCTGGTTCCCCAGCCACCGACCTCAAAGCCTACAACCCTTGTCCAACATGTGGCTTCAAGCCCTAGGACCTAGCATCTCCCCTCTTGGCAAATAAGCTTGGATGCCCGGGACGTCAAAGAACCCCAAAGCCGAAACCCTAGGCTTGAAGGTTTTCAAGACTGCCTTATGAGGAATCCTTGAGCCTGACTTTTCTGTAGTTTGCCTACCTATCCCGTAAGGGGTTTCATAGTACAATTTCACGGTGAAGGGTCTCTTAAGGTAGGAGCCGTTGCTTGTCACCACCCAGCCGAAGTTTACACCCTCCTGCGTTGCCTTAGACGAAAACCTCAGACCTTAAACCCCATACCCTAAACTCGAAAAACCCTAAACCTAGACCCTGACCCGTAAACCCCTACCAGGACAGGCTAGTATGCCCTA